AAGAGCATATTAAATACTATCATGACACTCCGCCACAGCCTTCTGGACGAGCGCCATCGAGAGATTCTGGCACGCGCACCGCGAGCGATGTGGTGCCTGAGATCAGGAGATGGTCGATTTCTCCGCCACGTAGACACTATTGAACTTCGTCCGAACGCGGGAAATCAAGAGTAGTTTAGGTCGGGTACCTCACTCTGGATATTCCATCTCCTTTGAACTCAACGCCTTCCATTCCAAGTAGGCGAGAGTTTTTCCAACGCCCTCCGATTCCATGTGGTGGCACCCAGTGCTGTAGCAGTACAAAGTTTCCAAGAAGGTACGGGGCGACAAACATGATGAGGATTCTACATTTTTCAGCGAGTGTGCTCAATGATAACGCGTCAGCGCTCAACCTCAGTCCGCAGGGTCAACGGAGAAAAGTATTGGCCTTTTCCATATCCAGTAACGGGTCTGGTCCTTACCATCAACCGGCGCCGATGGCGACTTGGGTGAGATGATATCCTGGAACGTAGCGGACGTTGTCGGAGCTATTCGTATTGCGAGGTTCATCCAGATCGAGAGTACTGGTCTCCAGGTAGCTATCCATGGGTGACTCCGGAGGTGACATGAATTCCAAAGGTCTTCTCCAGTCAGGCTGCGACTGGAGATGACTTCATATTTTGGTGTACATGAAGGTGATGGGCGAGAGCCAGCTCCTGCTTATCGAGGAACATCTTGGGTATCTTCCGCCCTGGTACTCGTATCCACGTCCTCTGTCTGGGCTGCGAAAACTTTGCTGATATGTGACTCGGTCGAAGTGACTTTTTTTGCCCCCCCCCCCTGTATGGAACAGTGATGCCCAAATCGTGCTCTCCCGTAGTTGTTATCGCTGCAATCAGTCGAGGCGGTGTGAATTAGGTGGAGCCCTCCTCGGCTACACTGCTCTACCAATGGTTATCAGCTAGAGATCAATTTAGGAAGAAGACGAGCAGTGGTGGGAAACGCCGTGGGCGGGCTCATCCGAGCCCTCTCGGAACCGCCCAGACGTTTGTGGCGATATCGACTGAACGCCTTGAGAGAAAGACCTGGGAATTATGGATCAGGTGTATGAACTATTTCCAACAGAAGCTCAATGGCAGTCGAAAAATAAACATTATTTATTTATGGACATGCTTTCCTGCATGCCATAGTGTAGAAGGCAGCACTGCAGCATAAATAAACTAAAAATTATGGCAACACAATCGAACCGGATGTAAGGAAACAAGTAGCAATCATTTGCCAGCTTAACTTGAAAAAATAACGAGACCTACGTTAGGATTGGGTCACATCACACTATGCACTAATTCCCTCAGAACTAATTGCTCCTCATTTTGATAAAGGCAAATAGTATAGTAGATCACATTCTATTACTTGTTAACTTCGGAAGTATTGAATAGCGGTCCTGCTTTTCAATAGCTGCTGGTCAGCTGTTTGATACTCAGCGTAGTTTTGTTTCCCGAAAGGACACGTCTGTCTGTTAGGTGAAATCAACCACTTTGAAAGCTCTGGCCCTCCACCTTGACCGTCGTGTGGTTGCTGTGTGAACCACGAGGAAATCACCATGTAAACCTTACAAAATGAATTAATGACGTTTCGTAGACGATAAACATGAAGTTTCGTAGACGATAAACACTCTTATAGGAGTACTGTCCCACGGGGAAACCCCACTTGTTAATCCAACCTCAACAACACTCAAGAGAAACGAGCCGCGTCAATACTTTATATGAAAGGAAACAATTGCGAAATTCAGCCAAGTGACTGCAAATGCTCAGTCCATCGGCTCTTAATAACTGCCCGCAATCGAGAACTGACTGCGACGGCATGCACTAGTTACGCCGGATTAGTCCAAGGGAGTAATAGTTGTTCCGAAAGGATGTCGTGCAGTGGCGAATTTAATCAACCACTAAAAGCTTTGTCGCCTCGCCATTGAGCTCGGTTTGGTCTGCTGTGTGAAAACCTGAGGAAAGTGACTGTAAAAACCTTGTTATGAATTGAATCGATTAAGATTTTCATAAACAGCAAGCACACCTTGTGTTAGGCGACGAGTGGTCCTGTCCTGGCGAGAAACCCGTGGTTCGAGTTTCTTTGCGTAACCTTTGACAACACAGCGGAGATACAGTACCGCCAAGGCTTCACGTGAAAGGTAGCGATTGTGAAATTCAGTTAAGTGACTGACTTTCAAATAAACACGTGATAAGGTGTATTGTAATGATTTACGGCCCTTGTCCGTACCACCAATAGATGGGAAAAGCCCTGCGCTTCACTCTCACGCGACCCCTCGACAACACATTGGAGAAACAAGCCCGTCAAGACTGCACGTGAATTAAACAATTGCGAAATCAGTCAAACGACTGACTTTCAACTCGTGTAAGGTTAGTATCTTGTGGTCATGTGATGGTCCTCAGTCTTTCGTTTAAGGACCAACATCTGCTATCTGAAAGCTTTTACAAGCGCACCCTGAGATAACGCATTGGAGAAAAAGCCATGTCAAGACTGCACATGACAGGGATCAGTTGTGAAATTCAGTCCAATGACTGATTTTGAATAAACTCGCGTAATGTGAGTAACCTGTGTTTACTTGGGGCTCCAGTTCGTATCGAAGACCACTCTGGGGAACCATACGCTTCAGTTTTTGAAACGACCCCTTGACAATACATTGAAGGGTCAAGACTTCAGGTGAAAGGAAACAATTACGAAATTGAGTTAAGTGACAAATGAGCTGGTGCAAGGTGAGTAGCTCATTATGCGATGGACCGTCCTAATCCTATCATGGATACCTATGGGTGAAACCCGCATGCGCTTCACTTTTTACGCCGACCCCTTCGATTAACATTTGTTCGGCGTCATGACTGCACGGTGAAAGGAAGCGCAGTTGTGCAAACGCGTCATACTGGCTGGGGTAACTCGTGATAACGTTAATAATTTGTGATCATGCTGGTTTGCCGCTTTCTAGTCACACTAGCGAAGGCTACGCCGACCTGGGGGGGGGGGGGACAGTTTACCCTACATTTATTTACCACCCCCCCCTCGACAACAGATTGAAGAAAAGAGCCGCCTCAAGACTTCGAGTGAAAGGTAGCAATTGTGAAATCCAGTCAGAGTGGCTTTCAGATAAACTCGTGCAATTATCTTGTGATCATGACGGTCCTAGTCCGATCGCAGGAAGTCTATGGGGAAATCTAAGGCTTCACTTATACGGGACCCCGACAAACACATTGAGAACAAAGCCAGGACTGCGCGTGAAAGGAAACGATTGCGAAATCCAATCAATGACTGATCTTCGAATAAACTCGTGTAAGGTTAGTATCTTGTGGTAGCTGATAATGAGGACCACCTCTAATGATGTTAATGTCATCTATAAAAAGGCTCGTGGATAAGGTTGACGAGATTGATGCTCGCCAAAATGAGGTCATTCCCCGCTTGGCTTCCCTAGAACTGAACTGTATGACTCGTCTTCAGAATGCTGCTACAATTGATTCCAAGATGTTGTACTCTACTATTGTTAAGGTGAGAGCAGATGGCGAAAAAAATAGAAGGGAAGCTGAAGCGCATCATGTGGGTTGGGATAGGGGAACAGGCCGGACATGGAAGCCTTGAGGGAAGTAGTGTATTCTCCATGAGATCCACAGTTGATTGAGGAACTTTCCAAAGGAAACATCGCCCGTCGGCACCCCCTGAACGACCGAATAAAGAACCAATACTAAAGATTTTACCCTACCCTCGACACCATCGGAGAAAAAAGCCGCGTCAAGTTTGCACGTGAAGGGGAACAATGATGAAATTCAGCCAGGAGACTGATTTTCGAATAAACTCGTATAAGAGGGTCACCTGTGATCACGACGGCCCTTCGCATCGAGGAACACCTATTGGAAAACCCCCGTGCTCAGTGTCCCCGACCCTTAGCAACACATTACAGAAGCAACTGCGCCAAAACTTCATGTGGAAGGAAATAATTGTGAAATCAATCAAGGAACTGACTTTCGAGTAAACTCAAGTGAGGCGAGTAACTTGTTATCATTGTTGGCCCTTCTAGTCCGCCTCGAGGGATAGTTCTGAGAAAACCCGCTAGTTCTCTTCCACAACATATTGGAGAAACGAGCCGCGTCAAAACCCCACGTGAAAGGAAACAGTTGTGGAAACCAGTCAAGTAGCTGATTTTTGCAATAAACTCGTGTAAGGTGGTAACTTGTGATCACTAGGGGCCCTTCTAGTCCGTATCGAGGGCACTCACGCGAATGACGACATTGGTTGAAAGAGCTGAAGTGTTTCGTAATTCTAATCGACGTCACAATTTACGATGACGAAACTGCTTCCAGCCAATAGCGACGCGACGATTGTAGGAGGTCCATGTCGCTTGGCGTCGCGTATCGCGTTGCGGCCCGCCATCTCGAATCAGATTCACCCATCCAGCCTTGACCCTCTACTGTGTTGTACGTTTGTGACGACGAAGCTCTTCGCATTCGTCTGAACCCTTTATAACACCCCTTCGTCTGTCTACTTGATCGGGTCTAATCCCCATTACAATTACTACTATACGTCAAACATGGAAGGCAAACAATAATTACGGCCTTCATTAGGCCGTATCATTGCCATCGTAACTGTATCTGGGTTCTCCTTGCGTAAATTCACCGATACGCTGTTGATTACCGTTTGGTAAGTTACTTCTAATATTCCTAATTCTATTGGTTCGGTTCGATCGTGGCCGCCCGATTTGTCAGAAGCATTGTGAAATAGTTGGCAAACACGCCGCTGATGAAATCCATGTTCGAAAGTTGGAATTTCGCAACCGCGCAGAATTTCCTATGAACACAATCGACGCTAGAGCGTTCGTGGTTTGTTTCTGTTCCGACAAATATCACACTCACTTCCCTACCTTTACTTTTTACCAGGAAATCATTTATGAGTTAGTGCAAAGCCTACTTTTACTAAACAATCAGTTTTTTCCCAAATATGTATTTCATTTCAGACACATTACTATAGTAATGTTGGGCCGTCCAATTTCTCCTCTTGCTTCTTCCACCACAACTAGCAATGCGACCCGTTCTACAAGCCGGCCGTCTCTTTCTCGAAAACGGGCGGCGGCCAGCAATTTGCCGGTGATTGAAGTGAGTTTCATAATTTTACTTTGTCAGTTGTATTTAAAATTCATCGCTGTGGTTGGTCTTCGCACCGGCTTTCACTTAATTCTGTTTGAAAGTGTTCCACGTGAACCTCTTAAAGAAATAACGAACTATTTGCAAGTAGAGGGAGAGGGTTGTTCAATGTAGCTGTTTCGCAATTGTCGAAATGCCAGTTACAAAACCCTTAACCTGATTGCTATGCTGTTTAGTTGCTGTGGAGTTATGTAGTTTAGTCTTGGCTTAAGATACATGCAGATTCCCACTGAAAGGGGCAGAAGTAGGTAGCAGGTTCTATGAACAGGTTTCTTTCTGTGAGGGTCCAGAGGTATTTCCGCATCGTATATTGGGTCTACCATTTGAAAGGGAAAATAAAGAGGTGGGAAGCGACAAGGAGAGAAAGAGAGGAAGGAAAAAAAACAAGAAGAGGGGAGCTTTGTGGCTGACAGAAATTCTGTGGGGTAGAAGTATGGAGGGCTTCAGCACAGTACTGTGGGTCATTTGGTGCAATAATTCGTCGTACTTGAACGGCATGACTTGTTTTAGCGCATGTTCCTTGTGCGTTTATTGCTAGTAATACGAAAATATACTGTGAGCCAAGGGAGGAGGTTGGATCCATAAAAGTATGAGAGGAAGTATTCGGAGCCCAATGGACCAATTCGACCACCGAGGAGCATCCTCTCTCACAGGCTTTGGCAGAGAGCTTTTCTTAGCCTTGAAGTTCCACCAGGGTCAATCTTGAAGACCACTAAACTATTCAAAGTCAAGCAGACCGATGTTACAGGATTTTTCCTCGTGATAAAGAAAAAATTATCCAAGTGCCTTGATGCCTGCGCCAGCAGGGTCCTAGTTTATTTCGCCGTTTTTTTTTGATTAGCCTAGTCGTAGCTTCCTGGTGGTCCCGCTGTAACCTCCTCACTATTCCGGAAGTGAGAAGTTAACTAGGTGATTCATAGAGATGTGACCTCAGGGGTTATTCGTCTAGACACCCGCACATTCGTGTAATATTTCGCAATATTCTTAATCCCCTCTTTACGTTTTTACTGACAAACGCTTCCGCTAATTCATCGAGATTTTCAGATGTCATCCCGCGAACGATCCTCATCATCACTGTCGATTCTATCAGATGTATCACAAGAATCATCAGATGAATTGAAACGTCAGCGATATGGTAGCTCGTCGTTCACTGATGAATCCTACAGCTCGCCACTTTCGGTGAGACATACAATTTTTCTCCTAGATTTTAGGAGAGCGAAGGTTTTCCTGGTACTTCCGGTAATTTGAACAACTTGTTTCGTTTCAGAATAGCTCCGACTTCTCGTCGAGCGAATTTCTTAGCTCATGCGGGAGTGCTTGCCGTGGTCGCTTACTTATAGGCGCGGAAGAAAGCGTGAAAAGTTTGAGCCCTTGGTTAGTTTTCTTTTCTTCTTTTTTTCACGACGATTGCATCTTAGCCATTCGGGGATATTTTGAGCGCAGTTCGGCTTGGAGGGGGCGCTGAAGGGTATTCAGCCAGACTTATACAGACCAAGTGTGTAAAAACCTCCACATTCCCTTTGAAGAAGTTTACAGTTAAACCGAAGTGGGACCTTTTCTTTAGTATGATCTAACAAAAGGTACTAGCGGAAGTGCAAAATGCCCCACCAAGCCGAGTAGCTTCAAATCTTGAAACTCATTTAGGTTTATTACAGCGTAGGAGAATAGGACCTTTTCTGACGCTGGAACTACCCATATTATAATCCTTTGCCCTTTCCGCGTTTTTTTTTCTTCGCCAGCAGTGGGAGATGCTATCCTCAGCAGTCCTTCGGCTTCCGCAGACCCCCCCCCCAATGAATCCCCATAGTCTGGACCACATTTGGGCAGGGTTGTGATCATTGTTAGTGCCTCAAATATTTCTGTGAAAGGGTCGTCGCAAATATAGCGTAGAGCGCTTGATAACCCACCCTTTCCTTGTTCTAGTTGTCGAAAACCCATAAAGCCCTGACCAGGTTCCTGTGCTGTTCATTTACTGCGGAATTCTGGTAACTGTTCGCTAGTTGGGTATACAGACTACCCGTTGAAGCCAATAGGGTTCCATGAAATGAAATCCAGAAACAAGACCTAGAGCGTGTAATTTCGAATGGCACATATAGCGCGCGAGCGGTCCGGAATCAAAAAGCCTGAATCGGCTCCCCCTAGACCATCCAAGCCTATGTCCTCCGGGGACGGCATTTCGATACCAGATGGGCCGAAGAGGATAAGAACGCTGGCTTTCACTTCGGCTAGTCGTGCAAGTCATTGTTCAGGCGGCACCGTATTCAGAAAGCCACTTCGATGCTGAATGGGAGTATATAGTACACTCTCAAAAAGGGATTGATCAACGGCACACATTTTATCCTTGCGCTTAAAGCAGAATGTCCCACGACAAATGTTAATAAACAGAACGCATTCGCTTGCTTTAAGTTTCTCTTGCTGAACTGGAATAAAAAGTTTCATGCGAAAGCGAAGAGTGTAAGCAGCCAGACCAAAAAACCATTTAATTGTTCTTATACAGGGAATTAGGCTCCTCAACCTATTCACTTCAGGTAAATAACTCGGTAATCGGCGATTATCGGATTGTTGGCGCAGGGAAGGACTCACGAGCGGTGCACCTTCCAACAAACAAAGTAGTAAATTGTCAGGTCTGTTTGTTTCTTGTTTGGAGCCAAACTTTTGTGTTCCTGTGTGCGTAATTTGTAAGTCTTGTGGAATGTATTTTTTTTCCAGAGTAAGTCTTGTGGAATGTATTTTTTTCTAGATGGTTATTGTTGATCATTTCAGGTATTGACTTCACAAGAAGCTCATGTTGTTTCACAAGTGATTGCTCGTCTTGAAGAGTCCGAAAAATATTACAGAGGATCCGACGTCAATGAGTTGAGGTGAGCAAACTTACTCTCGCTTTACTTTGTTTCCTTCCTTGTGGGTAAAGTCTCCACGGTTTCCGCATTTGAATAGGGCTTTTTCCGCAAGAGTCAAGAAAATTGACCATTTTCAGGGACATGGTGATGCCATCAGAATGTGAATTGGTTGAGGAGATGAGTGGACGTGTCGTAATGTTTGTTCCTCTACACGAATGTTCATTACATGCATATGCTCAAAAGAAAAGCTTTCATATGACGGAAGCCGACGTCGAACCCATATTCAAACAGGTAAAACTTGTTACTTTAACAAAACTTCATTCATTACAATGGAACAATCCCTTAGTAATATGCACTCGAAACTGAAGGGAAATGGTTAAGGATAAGAAGGGTTAGACATTAAGTCATAAGGACTGGTGTGGTCTGCAGTAGGTGGCTGTTCAACACCTCAATCTTCCGGGTAAAAGGAACGGTATACTGGTAGCACTGCTACATAAGACGGCTGAGGAAGAATGATAGTGCGCCCAGTTTCCTCGGGAGGAGAGAACGGCACGTAGGCAGAATCCCATCGAGGCGAAGGGGGGGGGGCAGGTCATATTGGTCGATGGGGAGTCTGGCCTTGGTAGGAATTTTCTCGATTGTTGGCTTTTGGCGACTTTTTTCGTTCCATATGCGCTATATAATTCCCCTAGTTGACGATGCCACAAAACCTATATAATTTTTTTTGGCTAGTTCATCTTGTAAGTTGATTGGCGACTATTCCCCCTCCCCCCCTACTTCCTCCCTTCCTCTCGTTCCATGCGTTTCTATTAGAGTAAAGTGGAAAGCCTCAGACAAGTATTATAGCCTGGAGGAAATTGGCAAGGTAGTAGGAAGGATGGGAATGGGGTCGCACCAGAGAAGAAATTTCGGGAGGGGGGGGCCTACTGAGACCTCCATTTCACAAAATCACGCTGCTGTATCTCGCTAGGGAGGAAATAAACTGCAATTTCGCGTCTGCATCTAGTATCCCATGTGGTAGAGAGTAGAGCTAGGGATGAACTGAAATTATTCGCATGTTCCAGTTTCCCACGGGGATAATTACTTCACTAACCCTCGCCCCCACCCACCCCCTCCCATAGCTTGACGATTGCAGGCTTCTCACGACATTGCTTTCCAAGAATTTTTTCCTCTGTAAAACCCCGAGACTCAGCATAATGATTCACAAGATTAATGAGGCCGTAAGTTCATGATGACGTCATAATTGTTATTTTCTTTTCAGATTGTACGTATTCTTGCGTTCTGTCATGCACTGGGAATAATTGTACGTAATTTGAAACCACGTAAGCTCGTATTCGATCAGCAGAATCGTATACGTCTTGAAAACGTGCTGGATTGCATCGTTTGTGATGATCCATCTGACGACCGCATGGTCGACAAATACTGCACTCCTGCGTTCGCTGCACCAGAGGTGAGATCGCTCGATATCGTCGCAGTCAATCGGGGCGGTTTCAAAAGGAATGGAATGAGCCCACCCGCGGCGTTTCTACCATTGGTTGTTTTCTTCATGGGTCGATCATTATTGGTAGAGCAGGGCAACCGAAGGCGAGATCGTCTCGCCCCTAACGGCATCGCCCCAATTGATCGCGACGTTATCGACTATTGCCATCGCTTTTTTTTCTGCTCTAATATTTGTGCCTTCAATATTTTCTTCAGGTAGTAAATCGTGCCCCTAATTTCTCTGGTAAAGCTTGTGATGTATGGAGCCTTGGTATATTGCTTTACCTATTACTGCTCGGTCGTTATCCATTTTATGATGAAACCCCAGCGGGTGTGTTTTCAAAGATTCGTGTTGCAAAAGTGGTCCTTCCCCCGGATGTACACTTGAGCGCTGGCGGTAAGTGATTAACGTCTTGCAAATTATTTTTTTGCCGATTTATGGTATTTTTCCAGCTCGTGCATTGATTTTCGGGTTATTGCGTCGAGATCCTGATGAGCGCCCTACTACCGCCGAATTACGGTTCACTCCATGGGTTTGCCCCCCTAAAGTGCCTTGTAGGAGAAGACCGACTGATCCTCGTATTAGTCCGGCGCTTCATATGCGCATTGCCCTAGCGGTATGTTTCACTTTCATTATACTCATGCATTCCGTTTTTGCGCTGTTCGGCTTGGAGGGGGCATTTTGTAAGTCCGCGAATTCCTTTCAGTTGACATTGAACCACAGGTTGTACTTTGGTGAAGCCTGTGAACTTCTATGAAGCGGCAGAATGGTGCAAATGAGCCACTCCGTTCACAGGAATTTACAGTCTTCGCAAGGTTGCCTGCACAACTTGCTTGTGTTGACCTTTCAGCGCCTCCTCGAAACCGAACAGCTTTTTGCTTTTTATATTCTACTAATTTTTTTTCAAACGTAACACTAACTTGTTCCTAACATATCTGTTAATTCTCACTTATTGTTGGTCTTAGGCTCGAAAGCTTCGTTTTTCTTACCCTTTACTGCCACACTCTTCGAAAATGACGTCAGATTTTGATCGAAATTGTTCTCTCAGAAAAGATTTGACCAAAACTTGAATTATTTTTGTCTGGCTCAATTTTGATCAGCCCCCGTGACCGATTATTCCATTTAGTTGAAGCGAGAATGCTTAGCGCTAGCACAGGCGCGACGTCTGCGCACACTTGAGGCTTTAGCGCAAGGTCGGTGTGATATTCATGTTCAAAAGGTCAAACGACCCCTTTGGACAATTTGCGGTGAACTTGGGACTAAATCATGAGGGCACCTCGTACACAGGGGAATCTCCAGCAGGGGTCGTATTTGGTTGCTGGAGGGAGGGGGTGATGTTGAGCCTGAAGGAATTTGTCTGGTAGTTTGTTTCTTGTCTCGCGCGCACATTCCTAATCGTTAGAAGACTCCCAATGGGGTCGGGGAGGGGAGGGGTGGTAATTGCTCGCTACTTCGAGGGAGGGTCATTTCCGGCCCCAAGAAAATATTTCTCCGAGCACGAAAGTTTGTTTCCGTCTGTTGATTTTTCGCGGGTTTTTCTCGATATACATGAAAAGTAAAGTTTGGAAAAAGTGGTAGAAAGTCGGGAACAGGTATGAATTGGTAAGCAGCATGGGAATCGGAAGGGGTCGTACAAGAGGAAGAATTTGGGCGGGGTCGTAGTTCGCAACAATTTTCCCAGCGACAGGGAATGCCCTGTGTAACGTTTTGGACCTGAAGTTTGTGGCTCTGATGCCGGGGAGACTAATCAAGCATTCGTGGTTGGTGACAGTGTCGAAGTAAAACAACGGTATTATGAGGCTTTTTTTCGCAGTTTTTTTGATATCCGATATCTGACATTTTGCGAAACTTGGGGAAAAATATTGATCGATGCAGTCAGTTGCATTCATAGATATCGTTTGTAATCTCTGGCGAGTAAGATGTAAGAGCGTCCTTATAGAATGTGTGGTCCCACGCCGATGTATGAGTTTTAAAGTTTGTGTGGCCTCTCTCAACTGTCCATTTCGGCGTAAAAAAGCGTAGAATTGATTGAATGTTGGGTAGTTGAGTGAATTTTTTCACAGTTAATTGTTACGAGCGAAAATGGGCACCGTGTTGGGGCCCCTTAAGCATCATTTTTTTTTCTCTAAAGTGGCATTCCCTTAATCGATCAACTGATCTTTGCTTTGCTTGTGGTTGGCTGGAGATGGTAAAGAGTCTACAATTCTTAGAGGGTCCCGAAGAGACTTTTTACTTTTCCCCTTTTGCTTAGACTGGGACTTGAATGCTCATGGCGCCAGTCGGCTATAATAAGTACGCATTTTGGTGCAATAATTTGAAAAATCCCACTGTGTATAGGATTTGGTTTCTCACCCCCACACTCATCTCTCATCCTCTTTAAATGGATTGCAGCAACAAAAATCGCAAATATGTTGTACTGGTACCCTACTTATAGTCAGCATCGCAATTCCCATTTTCTCGTGCCCGCAATTATAATGTGGACAAAACTGCTTATAGGCTATTTTGTATGCGGTTTTTGCATTACCAAATTCAGCAAAAAATTCATCAGAGATGATCAATAAGTTGAAACTCATGAAAAGTCCCTTTTTGCCTAGTGATGGTATGACTTCATAACTGTTTACTACTATATATTTTGATTCATGTAATTTTAATATTGATCAATTGAGTCAAATCCTAAGCTGAAGGTAAGGGCAAGAGTTGCTGGGTAGCAGCTGGTGCTTTCATATCACAGGTTGACGTTAGTTCCGCATATAGGTCATTTGTGAAGTGTAGTAAATATATAGGACCATTGAACCCTGCAAAACTGCAAACTAATATGAATAACAACGAAGTCGTCTTGATAAACACACCAGGGGACAGCATAAAACGTCGAACAGACCGCAACAGACTTTGGGGAAGTGCGTAACTTGCTCAGCTTATGAAGGGAGCAGAGGCACTCTGTAGTACTACAGTAAGGTGAAAATGGGACGAAACGGCTTAAAACGCCCAGCATGGGGGCAAAAAAAAGACACTTTCCTTCTTGACTTTCGAGGCGCTATAAGTTACACTTTATTAAATTCTGATCGGACATTTCTACCACCATATTAAAGAGCATATTAAATACTATCATGATACTCCGCCACAGCCTTCTGGAGGAGCGCCATCGAGATTCTGCCACGCGACCGTGAGTGGGTGCCTGAGTTCAGCGAGATCGTTGATTTCTCCGCCACTGTAGACCACCCTATTGAACTCCGCCCGAACCAGGTAATTGAGGGGGTTTAGGTCAGGTGACCTGCTTAGATATTCCACCTTCTTCAGGTACTCAACGCCCTTCCATTCCAAGTAGGCAAGAGTTTTCCCAACGCCCTTCGATTCCATGTGGTGTCACCCAATCCTGTAGCAGTACAAAGTTTCCAAGAAGGTACAGGCGACGACCTTTTAACCGCTCCAGTGAGGAAGTGTACGGCTAGCCTGAGATCAAATCGCTGGTCAAGTAACTAAATAAATATCAAAAGAAAAGAAGAAAATCACAGCGGTTGAACAGGAAACATGAAAACACTAAAAAATAACAAACTTCCCGGCTATGTCAACAGGGGTCCTTAGTAGAAGCAGGGGCATACTAGCGACATTTTCACGAGGCGATTGTCGAAGATTCGATAGTCCATTTGGAAAAAACGCCAGAAAACGGACACTGTTCGCAAGAAAACCTGCGCTCTGTCAAAGAAAAGATTATTTTCGTCAAACTTAACTTTTACCTCTTCATATAGAACTCTGAAGAAGTAAAGAAAGCGCCATTCAGCCATGTATAATTTTTGAAAACAGCTGATCCGATGGTGATCAGTTGCTGATCGGTGCGGCCATTTGTGGGCGTCTCGTTGTTGGAAGGAGTTCGGACTAGTATGTCAAAGCTTGCTACAATGCTTATGGACTGCTTTTCCTTGGGAAAGACATCATGTGAGGCTTTCTCTGGGGAGCAGAATTCTTTAGTGATCGGCGCGTTCATCTTGCATGCCTAGCGGCATTATGGTGCCCTTTGCCTTCAAGGAACATCGTGCAGGCAAGAGGCGTCGAAGCCTGCCAGCTTCACTCGGGAAGCACGACTCGGACATCACAGCAGCGATTTTAAACGCCATGTGCAAAATCGTGGCGTGCGAGAATGATATCAGTGCTAGAAAAACTTTATAAGGGTTCTTTATCCGCGTTAATCCGTTACTATGTTAAACAACCGGAATGAGTGCATACCAGTTACAAGTGGCCTTTTTGCCGTATACCACTGTGCGGTCTATGAGACATATGTCATGCACTATGTCATCTCTGTCATTGGCGTTTCATTTTCGACTTATTCAAGAAATCTAGCGGGTGTCAGCGCTGGTGGAGCCGTGGCAGGAAGTCATTTCTTTAGAACTGGGAGATGGGCAACAGATCGTAAATTGACTCTTCGTCGCGCGCGACAGTTTGCGCGACGTTTCGCCAATTTGCCCTGCCTTTTCAACTGGAGCATCGGATTTCATGTAGACAAGGACATGGTATACAGGGGGGGGGGGCAAAAAAAAGTCACTTCGACCGAGTCACATATCAGCAAAGTTTTCGCTGCCCAGAGAGAAGACGTGGATACGAGTACCAGGGCGAAAGATACCCAAGATGTTCCTCTATAAGCAGGAGCTGGCTCTTCGCACCTGACTGGAGAAGACCTTTGGAATTCACGTCACCTCCAAACAGCTGCGAAACTTCTAGTATGGAGTCACTAGCTACCTGGAGACCAGTACTCTCGATCTGGAAGACCTCCAACATCGAGCAGCTCCGACAACGTCGCTACGGTCTAGGACATCATCTTCACCAGTCGCCAAGGCGCGGGTTGATGGTATGGACCGGACGTACCCGGACTGAAGGTGAGCGCTGGCGGTTACATCGAGCAACTCGAGAAGAATATCCTCCTCACATGTCGTCGCCCGTACCTTCTTGGAAACTTTGTACTGCTACAGCATTGGGTGCCACCACATGGAATCGAAGGGCGTTGGAGAAACTCTCGCCTACTTGGAATGGAAGGGGCTGAGTACCTAAAGAAGATGGAATATCCAAGTAGGTCACCTGACCTGAATCCCCTCAATTACCCGGGGCGGAGTTCAATAGGGTGGTCTACGGTGGCGGAGAAATCGACTATCTCGCTGATCTCAGGCACCACATCGCGGTCGCGTGCCAGAATCTCTCGATGGCGCTCGTCCAGAAGGCTGTGGCGGAGTGTCATGATAGTATTAGGTTGGCGGGAAAGTTCTGTCACATTTTTTCAAATTAGACTTTCTTTTTACAGAGAGGCGTACAAGATCAAAATTATACAGCAATGTTATTGAGAGATCCTTGCCAGTTTTTGGACAGTTCGTGGATGCCATCGCTTAACAATGCACGCCGGCGCGACGCAAAGTTGGACATCATCTCAACTTTGACTTGGGCTCAAGTCGTGGAGGTTTTCTCGGCTGTATAACGGTTGAATACGGGAGGCGACTAGCAGTCAGAAAGAGCAATGTCTGGACTACACCGGTGCAAGGGGAGAGCCATCCAGCTCTATTGCATGAAGTACGGCTCGAACTTTTTTTGACGGGGTGTGCTGCACCAGCACGTTGAAGACGGACTGTGCCGATGGATTTTGCCCTCTGCTTGACGATTCGCTTCAGATCTCGT